CGAAGGCCCTAAGTACCCTCGCAGTGACGCATCCACACTGACGAAATAACCCAGTTTGACACCGCTTTAACTGCCCCGGCTCCATGCTGTGGGATTCTGGGACTTGTAGTTAGTTGGGGGCCACCAGGGTTCTTCCTCTCAAAAATACCTCAGAACGGGGATATATTTCCTTTTAAATCCCAGTTGAAAAGGAAATATATCTAAACTGGGGATATACAAGGAGATTTAAACTGGAATTCGTCCATCCCAAATCCAACACTGCAGAAATAATAATCCAGTTTGAGACCGCTTTAACTGCCCCGGCTCATTGTTAAGGAATCCTGGGAATTGTAGTTTTGTGAGCCATTTAGCCTTCTCTGGTCCAGAGCAAACTGCAGAAATAATAATTCAATTTGAGACTGCTTTAACTGCCCCGGCTCATTGTTGGGGAATCCTGGGAATTGTAGTTTTGGCAGACATTGGGCTTTCTCTGGTCCAAAACACACTGCAGAAATAATAATCCACTTTGAGACCGCTTTAACAGGTCTCGTTGCTAGGGGATCCTGGGAATTGTAGTTTTGTGAGACATTGAGCCTTCTCTGTCAGAGAGCTCTGGTGTCACAATAAACTACAGTTCCCAGGATTTTCTAGCACTAAGCCAGGGTAGTCTCAAACTGGATTATTTCTGCAGTGTGTTTTGGACTTTAGGGCCTTTGCAGACTGCCAGAAATAGTGCAACTTGAGTCCACTTTAACTGTCCTGGCTCAGTGCTAAGGAATCATGGGAACAATTTGCACTATTTCTAGCAGTCTGCAAAGGCCCTCAGTTGTATAGGGAATCCTTTGGGGTTGACTGAATGACATTCAGTTTTTAAAAGATTAAAATCTCCACATAAACATTTTCAACACACAATAAGAATGAGAAAAATCTTCATCTTTCTCTGCAGATTCTTGTTTTGTTGGTCCATGAGGGAAGGGCATCTGCTGCTAACTAAGGTTCAAAACACACTGCAGAAATAATTAAGTTTGAGACCACTTTAACTGCCCTGGCTCTGTGCTAGGGAATCATGGGAATTGTATTTTTTTCTGAGACATTGAGCCTTCTCTGTCACAGAGCTCTGGTGCCACAATAAACTACAGCTTCCAGGATTCCCTAGCACTGAGCCAGGGCAGTTAAAGCGGTCTCAAACTGGTTTATTTCTGCAGTGTGTTTTGGACCTAAATCTTCCTCTGACATACAAAAACTATACAATATAATCATTATCACCATGTTATTTAAAGCAGTGCTTCTCAGAGGTTATCTGGTTTGGGAGACTGGCAATTATGTTTCCCTCCCCAAAGAAAGTGTCAAATAATGGCCCCATATTTTTGCCCCTTGGTTATAATTGTTTCTTTCTGTCCTGGAAACTCCTCAAGGGACCACCACTCTGAGTAACATTACCTTTGAACTACATGGACTACAACTCTGGAGAGCAGAGTTCAAATCCCCACTCAGCCATAGAAACCCACTGGGTGACCTTGGGTAAGTCACACTCTCACAACCTCAGAGCAAGACAAAGGCAAAAAACGACCCTCTGAACAAATCTTGCCAAGAAATATGCCAGGCCATGGAAACCCACTGGATGACCTTGGGTAAATCACACTCTCTCAGCCTCAGATAAAGTAAAGGCAAACCCGCTCTGAGCAAAACTTGCCAAGAATCCGCCATGATAGGGTCATAAATCAGAAACAACTTGAAAGCACACAACAACAAAGACTAAGGGAACCTGTGACTAACATTGTCATTTTTTTCTTTCTCCTGTATTTATAATACTTTTCTTTATTGAAGAAGCCAGTGGAGCTTCGAAAGCTTACAACATGTATAATATGCATTTTGTGGATTTTGGATGTTATTGTACTAAGGGAACCTGAGGGAAAGAACAATAGATCCAAGATGTTTGTTGTTGTTGAGTGCCTCCAAGTCATTTTTGACTTATGGCAACCCTAGCACCTTTGACAATAACTGAAAGAAAGAAGCTGGCAGCATGAACTTTCCCAGACTTAAGTCTACTTCTTCAGCTGCATTTAGATAACTTACAAAATATTCTTCAGATGCATCTGAGGAAGTAGGCTTAAGACTAGGAAAGCTCTTGCTGCCAACTTCTTTCTTTCATTTAGTCTCAAAGGTGCTACAAGATCTCTCTACAATAATAAAACCTGGTTTTAGACTTCCAAGTTCAAGAATGAATATATTTACTCAGAAGCAAATTACAGCAGTTTCAATAGGATATAGCTTTCATGGAAATGTGCCTAAGACAGCAGCGTAAACATTGTTCTACATGAAATGCATCTGAGGAAGTAGGCTCACATCTAGGAAAGCTCATGCTGCCAACTTCTTTCAGTTACTCTCAAAGATTGTGCTACATATTGTTCTACAGTGGTTATGCACAATTCTTTTCTGAGCATGAGGGAAGGCCGTGAAACCTCTAGGAAAGGCAAGGAAGTAAGTCCGAGAGATGGAGTCATTTTGGTGTTGTGTGTTCTCAAAGGTACTGCAAGATCTCTCTAAAAGGTAAAGGTATTCCCCGTTGACAAGGTTGTCAAGTCATGTCCGACCGTAGGGATGCTCATCTCCATTACTACGCTGAAGAGCCAGCGAAGGAAGGAAGGAAGACTACTCTGTAATTATGTGGCAAGCATGTATTCACAGAACACTATTTACCTTCCTACCAAAGTGGTTCCTATTAATCGACTTGCATTTGCATGCTTTCGAACTGCTAGGCTGGCAGAAGCTGGGACTAGTGATGGGAGCTCACCCCATCATGCAGCACTCTACATACTAATAATAAAACATGGTTTTAGACTTCCAAGTTCAAGATTGAATATATTTACTCAGAAGCAAATTACAATAGTTTCAATAGGATATAGCTTTTAAGAAAATGTGCCCGACGGCAGTATGAACTAGAAAATTATAAAGCCATACATATATATATATACACACACACACACACACATATATATATATACATAT